ATAGTGACAAGGCGCAGGACCCTGTTGACTTTGACAATGGCCAGTGGAAATTCGCGGAGAGTGCTCCATGCCAACCTCTGAACATTTTCTGAGATCCCATACTCCTCAAATATTTCCATCCTTGGATAAGTAAGTAAAAGCTTGAGACTGACTGACTGACTGACTGACCACCTGAGTGATGATGGGTAGTTATTTGACACAAGTGACAGCGACAACTTCATACACACCAACACCACTGCTAATTGGTGACAAGATGCAAAACTGCATCATGAGCCTCACCTTTGTCATCTGTCTCTGCATCCCGTGGTGGCGATTCCTCCGATTCCCCCTCATACTTCAGTTCCTCCTCCTCCTCCAGCACTTCTTCAAACTTGTCCACTGGGCTAGCTGGGGACTTGGTGAGTGGCAAGCTACCAGGTACCGAAGCCTCTTTGCTCACAGACTCAGACGTTGCAGGAGATGAAGCTTTGCTCTCAGGAACTGCAGATTTGCTCACAAGAGGCGCATATTTGCTCAAAGTGGCAACTGGACGACGAGACTCAGCGTGAGTTCCAGCAGCTTCTGATGGACAAGGAGCTGCATGATGAGACTCAGTGTGAGTTGCACAAGCTTCTGTGACAGTTCCAGTCCACCAGGGAGGAGGAGGAGGCTCAATGCCAGGAGGAGGCTGCGCCATTTGCCATCCAGACGGTGATCTAAGAAAAGGAGGCGCAGCGTGGCCCTCAGCCTTTGCCGATGACGCTGACGCTGATGAAGCTCTTGCAGGCTCACTGGGTGGTCTGGCCTCGGAATTAAAACAACTTCACACTCAGAATGTCTCAGCACATTAGGCGACTAGAACTCTCAATGAACAGCCAGGACTTGATTCAATTTCAACGAATAGATCAACATGTTTCACTGTCAAATATTGAATTCCAAGATACTTTCTTCAGGAGGATTGAGGAAGTCCGACAGCAGAAACTTCCTGATCAAATTGCTTCAAAAGACTGTTCACCATTTATTATATTGCGTCACACCTTCCAATTTGCCAATGCCGTTACAATTTACAGGAAGCCAGGTGTTGGGAAGGTCTGGACATAATTGGTGACAGTCTGATTCAGAAGGTGCTCAAAGTTTCCAAAGTCCCAGCTCGGAAGTGATTGGGTGATCTTGTCCTCTGCTTCCCTCCTGAGACCAAACTTAAACAAACAACCAATGACATGATCAAAACAAATGACAATTACTAGTGACTCCAGCCAATACTCCAAGACTCCATGCAATCTGACCAGAAAGGAAATCCTCCACGGTGGTGAGATCACCATGGAAGTCCGAAGACATGCTCCCAAAGGTCACAAGGACCTGGCAGCCTGCTGCCTTAATTACATGGGCGATTCTAACGCTCCTCAACTCTCAGAAATTGTTTCACCTGCCACACCCAATGATGAATCAATGACACATTCACATTGCCACATGTCAATGTCAATTAATGAGGCAGAGATACTATCAAAAGAGCGCTAAGGAGGATTGATCCAGCCACAGTACGGTGGTAACCTGCGTTGCAGCTCAGCCTCAGATTGACTAATTACTAATGAATGACAATTACTTACTGACACCAACAGTGCACTTTCACAAAACAGCAACTGACATCTGACTGATATTCAATGACTGACAGAACGACACAACTAGTAATTAACGTGTATCATTCAATCATGCTTGCCCAGTGGCTTGACCAATACCGCTGGCTTGTTGATGATCTCTTCCATCAGTTCGGCACAAAGTTCTCACGAGTGAAGACCTCATCAATACATGATTGACAAAACCACGACCTTAGTCACACTTTGAAGTGACTTAGTTGCTTCATTGATTGAGTGACTCACAGACTTGATGTGAAACACTGCAGTGAACTGGCTCAGCTCAGCTCAGACAAGGCACTTCCTTCCGGGCCTTCCATGTAGCCCCACTCACGCGGTTCTGCTTCTGGCCTTTGCCCTTACCTGGGTCCCTGGGAAGGGCCCTGGCCATATCATGGTAAACACTCACCACACTCCTGAACCTGTTCTTCCCGGGGAACGAGTTCGCAGAGGCTCCTTTGAGGCCAACGACGACTACCTTCTTGGGCCAGTTGCACCAGGTGGAGCTGCATGGTTGTACATAATGCCAGTGTCATTTGCCTCAGCCTTGGTTGGGTGTACACAACTGACTGACCGCAGGATACACAGCTGAAACATGCAACTGACAGCATAGACAGGTTCTTAAATTTCAGCTCGAGCTTTTACCAAGTCACTTGAGCTTCTCCTGCTCGATACACATTCATTGTGGTATTTGAATTTGCGATCTGGGAATCCATGGCTGACATTGATCCTGGGAATCCACTCAAGTCTCTTTGCTTTAAACAGTAACACTCAAGTCTCTTTGCTTCAAGCAGCCTCAGATCACTGGAACAACATGAGCATCAAATCAGCCCACTAACTTGCAGCTATGGCTCTTCTCAATCTCCACCTTGCAGGATTTCAGAACCCACCCAGATAGGTTGCGAATTCCCTTGTTTTGGCTGGAGTGGCGCCTGAGTCCGTGGCGCCTCTGTGGCGCCATTTACAGCCCAAATCTAATCAAATCATCCAATTCAATTCAATTGAGCCAGTCACTGTCAGTCAACCAAAGATTGCCAGCAGCAAGGTTCACATTTGTGAAGTTTGTCAATTGTCACGTGTTAATATTATACAATTGCATGGAACCCACCCAACATTGACAGTCAGTCAGTCAGTATTTCCAGCCATCATCCAGACCAAGCTTCCACAACTCAAGCGCCTTCTCTGGGTCAATGAGGCGCAGCAACCAAAGAGCCTTGGGCCAGACTACAACTGACACTGTTTGTCCACAACTGTGTCCAATTTCACAAAACATATAACTGACATACTCATTGACCATCACCATTGCATTAATATAAACTCAAAGGGACTTGCTGCGCTTGCCTTATTATTGGCGCAATTGAACACACTCGCAGATGATTCACTCAAGAAACCACACTCGCCAAGGAGGGCTGCGCAACATGACATTCTTCCCAAAGTCATGAGAGTAAACTGCGACTCCAAAATATAGTGAGTGAAGCCATGATAAATTAAACACCCATTCACAAAGCAATGTCATTCTAACAAGACTTTGAAGCCAATGATTGGGCCAAGCTGCCGGTCCAGGGTCCAAACACCGTTGTTGCCACCGTACACAGAGCGCACTGACTCCAGCTTCTCGACCACCACAGAGGTTGTGGTAGGTGAAAAAGACATCCAACTACCACTGACCACTTGGCTTGGAGTTGAAATGCGAGTGACTAGTTAATTTTATGGTCAATGCCCATGCACCGTTGACACAATTGTCTGATATGACATGACTTAGTTGCGTTGATTAAACATGTCCTTCCATGTCAGTCTGAGCCCAAACTAGTGACTACAAACATGACATGAGTATACTGCTGCTTTTAGTTAGTTTCAAGACAACTTGACTGAAAAACATGTTGACAAGTGAGGCAAAGCAAACTTAGAAACACCTGACAATACGGAGTGGCCCCCACCTGGTGAGGGCGGCCACCGCGCGTGCGCAACACCACCTGAAGTCAATATTGAGTCATCAACCACCCGCACCCCAATCACAACTGACATGACTACGTGAGTCTGTGTGCAACTAACTGACAACAACAAACAACAGCAAACAAACTCCAACACAACAACATCAAGTGGATTCAGCGTGGCATGAACTCTGACTCATGACATGACATGACATGAACTGCTTGAATGAACTGAGGCTTGGGCAAGCTAACTTGGTCTCGAAAAGCCGGGCTGTGCCTGGTTGCCTATACTATATTTACTCCAATTAGTTAGTTACACAGCTGACTGTAGTTACTTACAGCTGACATTTAGGGTCAATACAGCTGACATGTCACAAGCATCCAACATCCATCTCATCACAACCGTCATAATATACTACAACTGACAGTGAGAGTTGCCGCAAGAGAAGCGTTCCATCACGTTGAGCCGTTTGAGAACATTACGAAAATTGTATATTTCTGCATTTTTGATTTTTTTGATTTTACTTGATTCTTTGATTTTTTTGTCAAATCTTATTTGATCTCAAAAGGTGAGATTAAATTACCCCACCAATTTCCTTCCTATCTAAAAGCCCTCCTAGCTGATATATGTATAAATCCTGGTGAAAATCTAAGGGAGGGCAACGCGACCACGTATGCGTTGTTCTGCCTTGTCTCGCACCCACCTTTGCTCACTCAGACGCAGCGCGGTCAACGCTTTTGTCACTAAGTGTTTGGATGGTGCGTTGGGTTTCGGGTTCAGCTGCACCTTTTCAGGGGTCCAGATGGATCATCTTTCCCGGAGCTGCATCAGCGCCGTGGTCTCCTCTTCTGGACAAAAACATGAGAAAGCCTTCACTCATGCTCATGACAGAGGGAGAGATCTGTCAAAATCGGCTTCCTAAGCCACTGCGTCGAGTTGCTCTGCTTCAGCCAAGCTGTGAAATGTTCAGCTTGGCGCGTTCCACCGCCAGGGCGACAATCTTGAACCAGTGTGACGCAGGTCAAAGGAATCACCTCAGCATCCAGGCAGCATGGCAAATTCAGTGAACGTGACCTGACGGGGTTCAGCGCAGGATTCTTGTCGTAAAAATGATGACCTCGTACATGTCAGAGACCTGCAAGCGCGTGAGTCCAGCTGGAATCCAGATTTGGAATCCAGTCCTGGCATCCAGTCGGAAGCAAGTGATGGCCCGAGTGTCTGACAGACACACCCCATGCCTCTTGAGGTGAGGCGGCGCAATAGACGCTAAAATCTAGCGTGCGGAAAGGTCGAAAGGTCGCGCTGCAACTCGACAACAAATGTTATAAACATGGTATTTCATATCTCCACCCATCAAACACATACACTCATCCACTTTCATTCCTCCCCCTTCCGCGACCTTTTAATAAAAATGCTTTCTTGTTTTCTGTGAAGAATTCCCTTCCTTCGCCAAGAGGCAAGGCCGCCAAAGAGAAAGGACATGCCCAAAACCAGCAAGACATTCGACAACACTGAGCCTGTCGTCCGTGTCTGCAACATTGTGAGTCGCACCCGGACAACATCTGGAACATGGAGTGGAGAAAGAAAACTGAATACGAAACAACTTTGACAACAAATACATGCCGTTTTCCGAAGTTCTCATCTTGTGATCACGGTTACGCGCGCCTAGGAGTGTGGCTTTGACGACGGCGTAAAGGCCGCCTCGAAGAGTTTGCACCTGGCCATTTCGCGAGGAGGCCGAGAGGCGCACCGTTATAGAAACAGTCCGCCAGTCTTTAGAGCTCGCTTTCGAGGTGTCAGCACCAGCGCCGACTTACAACACCGTGCCCTTGCGAAGCTTCGGCGCGGTCACATGTTCAGCTTGACAGCCGACGCAGAACTGAACCTTGCGTGAAAGAATTCTCGGGTTCCTTCCACGATTCCCTGGAGCATTCTCACTGAGAACGCAGCAAGCAATCATATTCGTCTTTTTGACTTTGTTTTTGGTCACGTCGGCAAATGATGTTCGGACAGGGACTGCCCTCAGGGCAAGTGTTGGAGACGAGAAAGAGCTAGAAACGGCTATGCTACCAAAGCGCAAGCATGTTAATGATGCCTCAGGCCGTGTCAAACACTATAGAACAAGCGCTTTAGTGAGACCTTACATGTTTCCGCCAAAATGCAGTGGGTACCAGCGTTTGGGCGTAAAATTCGATATGACTATCAATAAAGACCCCGCCGTCCAGTCCACACCAGTCCGTTTGGTTTCTCGGATCGCGTTCACGTCGAAAATCATCTTGGGCCGGCCGTAATCACCATCTCCACGGCATTGCCGAAAGTTGCCTCAAGCCACATAGATACAGATTGCAACAACTTACAGCAACGCCCACTTAATTACAGCCAAAAGAAAAACTTTTCCTTGCAGTCCAAACCGTTTCGACATTTGAACCGAACGGATTGTCGCAAGGAGTTGAACCCAAAGAAACCTTGAGCGCCTGTGCCAAGGCCTGACCCCTCACTTTTGCTAGTTGCGACAAATTCACAAAAACCCATTATGTAGCCTCCCAAGAGGGACGGAATCAACAAATTCCTCCCTTTACATTGCACCAGCATAGGCCCAGTTAGCTAGGCAGAATTTCCACGACCTGTTGACGCGCGGCTGGCTGGAACAAGAACGCGCAATGTACATTCAAGCCTGCGCAGCCAGCTTTTCCCGCGCAACCAAGCCGACACCAGCACCAGCGCCAGCACCCTGTCTCACCAGCACGCGTTGCCACCTGACAACACTGGCAGCGGTACCAGCGCCAGACCACCGCCCGACCAGCGCTGCCGCCCGTCTCAAACGAGTGCGCAGCCAGCTCACAGCGCAAGCAACAGCGCCCAGGACCCACACTGTCTCGATAGCGCGCGGCCCACAGCGCCAGCACCAGCACTGACACCCTCTCGAAAGCGCGCGCAGCCAGCTCATTCTTGTTTGACAATTAAGAACCCCCTAGCTATTCAAACTCTAAAGTTACATCATCTTCACGCGCTAAGGCATCATACGGACATTCGCGCAAAGCTCCATCAACCACATCCACCGCTTTGGAATGAGAGCGTGCGCTCCAAAAGTCAACTGCCCCGCAGTGTCTCCACCACCCGCACAGCCAGCGCCAGCGCCCAGCGCCGGCGCCCTGTCTCCGCCACGCGCACAGCGAGCACCAGCGCCCAGCGCCGGCACTCTGTTTCCACCACGCGCACAGCCAGCGCACAGCACCGCGCCAGCGCCCAGCAGTTTCCACCACGCGCACAGCCAGCTCACAGCGCCCAGCGCCGGCGCCCTGCCTCCACCGCGCGCACAGCCAGCACCAGCGGAACGCGCGCGCCCGGGCAGCGGCGCCCTGTCTCCACCGCACGAGCAGCCAGCGCACAGCGCCCAGCGCCAGCACCCGGCACCCTGTCTCCGCCGCGCGCACAGCCAGCGCCCAGCAACGGCGCCAGCGCCGGCCCCCCCCAGCACCCCGCACCCTCATTGGTTTTTGAAATAAGAACACCATAGCTGTCGCTATCTCGGGAAATATGTAATGATATGTAGTGTATTCTTTTAAGGTTGTCCGAAGCCCAGCAGCTTCCCCTTCAGCTTCCTTTTGGCTAAGAGTCATTAATAAGTCCTGCGAGAAGATCATTGCGTAGGCCAGCTGCAAGCTCCTGCCACCGCCCCGCTTTGCTGCCAAGTTCAACAGGGTTGACAAGCTTGCTGTTCAAAAGATACCAATGTTGAATTCCATGCGGCCACACATCAAAGCATTCAACATGATTTTCCTCTAATCACCGCCCCTCAATACACGGCAACAAAGCGCATGTAAAGTTGTCAGCGCTGCAAGGCTTCAATTTTAGTTTGTCGCTTCATGGTGACCTATAGTGAGTCTCAATTTCAACGCTTTCGTTGAGACCTTTGAGAACACGCGTGGGCAACCTACACTTGGCATTTGATGTAAGACTTCACAAAAGAAGGGGCCGGCTATCAAAAAATTGTTATCCAAAAAGTTGGTATCTTATATCAATAAGAGAATTGACTATATCAAAAACAAAATGCAAATTCATAAAGGGCCGCGCCTGCCGAACGCCTTGGCAGGGATGTGAATCTTGATGCGCAAACTTCGTGGCCCGTGGCAGGCGCGGAAGTTTGCGCACTGGAAGTCCAGATTTCGTGGCAGGCGCAGCACTTCGTGAACCTCGAAGCGCAGGTTTGGTGGCAAGCGCAGGCCTTTGCGAACCTTGAACTACAAATTTCGTGGCAGGGACAGCGCCTCAATGAGCCTCGAAGTGATTTTTTCTTGGCGAGCGCGCAGATTCCGTGGCAGGCGCAGCGATTGTCAACCTCGAAGCGCAGATTGCGTCGCAGGCGTAACATTCAAGACCTCTGCAAAGAGTCTTACTATTTGTGGATCTGAAGACCTCTCGACCTCTCTCTGCGTCTCAACGCCTTTCTGTATCCTTCTGGATCTCGGCCTTTAGATCTTTCCCAAGTCTGGGTTCCTGATTTCAAGACCTCTATAGACCTCTGCAATTTCTGGGTAGACCTCCGCACGATCAAAAGGTTTGCTTCGTAGACTTTCTAGATCTCAAGACCTCTAAACCTCTGCGTTTTTAGATTTGTGAGTTTCTAGACCTCTGCACCTTCAGATTTGTCTGGATCTCCAGGCCTTTGGGATGCATCTCAACCGTGATCTCTACATCTCCAGACCTCTAGATCTCTTTAGATGGATCCCACTCTGACTTTCGCGATCTCTGGACCTGTGATGGCTCGCAAAAGTTCTGCTGCATCAATGGCACCTTCCTCCCCTAAAGTTTACTCTCAAGTACCTCACAAAAGGTCTGCTAACCACCGCGTGGATCACAAAGGTCTACGACTCCTCTGAACTTTACTCACCAAGTCTGCTGGCGTGGCACCTTCCTCCTCCAAGTTCTATCCTCGGGCGGCGCGCAAAAGGTCTGCTACCTTGGAATAGCACCTTCCTTCTCCAAATTCTACCCTCGGGTTGCTCGCGAAACAAAGGCCTGCTATGTTGGACTGGCAACTTCTTCTTCTAAATTTTACCCTTGCAAGGCTAACAAGAGGTCTGCTGCGTTGCAATGGTTCCTTCCCCGTCTAAATTTTACACAAAATGTTTGCTACCTTGGAATGGCACCCTCCTCGTGTAAATTTTACTGTCGGTGGCTCACAAAAGGTCTGCTATACGTCTGGTGATCCGATAGAGGGTCTGCTGCTATAGTGCTTCGCAGGATGTATGACCAGGAGATTTCCAAACCAGGGCCTTGACGCGCCTTGCCTCAAAAAGTACAGACGCGCGGGCCCCAAGACGAAGGGATGAGAGGAAAAGGGCCAGAGGACAAACAAAACACAGGACCAAGGGACAGAGGACCAGGTAAGCAGCTTGATGCGCATGCATGTTCTTTGTTTGGTGGGACCCTTTCTTTATTGATTGGAAAAACCTTTTGAAAGGTATCCCTTCGCAACTGTTAATGGCTCGCCCATTTTGCGTCTGCAAGGTTCACATTGCGTTCGCTGAGGCCTTTTGAACAATTCAAGAGAGAACTGAGCTGACTGAGTTGAGCTTTACGGCCTCTCGACCTCTGAATGTGTTCAAGATGCGCTCCACCATTCTTTAAGAAGACGTTAAAACGTTGCCGCCGCACAGAGGATTCACACTGACTTGGTACGCCATCTTGCGCGCGAGGCTTTTGGGAGATACATGTAGACCAGTTGAGCGCCCTGAAGACACTTGTGAAGCTTTCCTCGCAAGATTACCACACAATCCAGATTCGAAAAACAATCCAAGATTCGAAAAACAGTGCGCACAAGGGGACGTACTGATTCAATATAGATTTTCCACACCTTCCACATGTCTGGCAACACCGTTGTGTACCAATGGTGGAACATGAAGACATTTGCTGCGGGTAGAGTTTGAGACGTTCCAAGAGAGGCCTAGAAACAGTACAACCCAACTCAGTCAGCTAAAGAGGCTGATTTGGATATTGCTGCCCCTTGGCCGCTCGTGGTTTCGACAAGAAGAATGCGTCAAACATAGTAAACACAACGCGATAGTGTTTTGGGCTTTCCCACGCTCATGAACGCTGACGACGTGACAACTTTAATGACACTTTAATCGTAGATGTCAGCGGACTTCCCACAGTGCGTGTTACTGAAAAGGCGCAACACATCTGTTGGTGTAGAGGCTCTATGTTCAAATACATATTTCGTTGAAATAAGCCAATAAGAGCTGTTTGAAAACTCAAAAGTTATTGTGTTTTTGAATACACATTCTTGATGTAAAATAACAAAGCTTATTGGTTTCCAACGTCACAAAAGCAAAAAGTTCCTAGTTTTGTGCACTGAAGCTTTTGGATTTCAACATCAAAAACTTAAGGCTCCCAGCTTTGAATCTGCCGGTCGCAGGTCAACGATCGCACGCAACATTTCTTGAGCCACGAACGGGGGCATGTGTTTATGCCTTTGGTATGATCTATGCGCACATCCATCAATGAACTCTAGGTTCACGAACCGCAAGTAAAGCAACGTGAAACGATATTGACCCGGGAGGTCATCTGGACATGACTCTGCAAAGTCACTACCAGCACCTTTCAAACTGGATTGCCCATTTGGATTGGAACGCTCAAGTTGCTCGTTTTGTTACCGCTTTGGAGTTGTTGGTGGGTAGGACTATGTGCGTGTCCTTTTTTCGCTTTGTTCATGGAAGTAGCTGCAGCAGGGCTCGAGATTGCCTATTCTAGGAGCCACTCCGGTCCCAGCCGATCTCCAGCCATACGGTCCCCGCGCTAGCATAAGCATCTGAAATATAAGAGGCACAAGGCTAGAAGGGTGCGAGGCCTTGGGGGAGAGCGAGGGTCGCTGAAAGATAAGGAAATCTTTGGCTGTATTTCTTGGTCACCATACTAGGCCCAGAACACCACATTGTTTCTCTCCATGGAGATACGATGTCATGGAGGGCGCAGCAGAATCAATGGAAAGACTGGAGCAAATGGACCCCCCAGCAAAAGCCTATGGAAGGCGACAAGAAGAAAGCTCAGCAAAAACAAAAAGCCCTGTTCCAGGCTACGACGGCAAGCCAGTCAAGGTAGAAGGCCAAGACCTCTCGTATGGCTGGCTCTTCATCATCGGCAGCCTCTGGGGAGGCTTCGCTAAAGGAGGAGAACCGCAAATTGAGAGAGGCAATGAGGTTTATAGTCGATCATATTACCCCTAGTAATAGGCTCGAAACGAGTTATAGATTTTGTAGCACCCTATAGATCAGCTGAGGTTAAAAACAACCTCTGAG